AAATATCTTCTCCATAAAGGAAATATATGTTACATTTTAATGAGCATAAACATGTTGAAAACTTTTGTAAAATACCTATAAAATGATATTAATTAATAAAATGATATTAATTAATTATAATTTAAGCAAGAATTTTATTAAAAATAGAAAATTGTTTCATCGATGGGATTAATCATTTAAATTAATGATAATTTTTAAATTTAATATAAAAAAGGAAAAATGTTATATTGATTTCTTCGATTAGATTATATAGATAAATTCACGATGTAATCAATATATTTTTATAAAATATAATAAGTAAGTTAAATCTTAACATTACATGAGATCTCTAAAATCCAGATTCTTTAAATTTTAATTTACAATTTTTGTTTGCATTAGGATAAATTGTTAAGTTATTAATTTCAGCATAACAATTTTTGTATTTCTTTTTTGAATTCTTAGATATTATTACTTTATATAATCAAAAATATTTTTAATGTAATTTCCAAAATAATATAAAAATAACTAACGTTATATCCATAAAAGTATTCGAAAAGATATTAAACAGAAATATAAAAAAAAATTTGAAAAATCTCTCAGCATTGATTGCAAACATTTCAATATAAGATTTCAATACGTTTTAGGTGTATGTATATATGTATACTTGTAACTAAACATATATATATGTTTAGTTACAAGTTAAGTTACAAGTTAATATTTATTAAGTTTAATAAAAGGAAAAAGAACTAACAAAATAAAACAATGGCCGGTCTATGATCTTATTTTCATAATTCAAATAACAAAATATTTTACTTCTGATATAGCATATTAGAAATACACTTCCCTTCCTTCCCCTGCATAATATCTCACTGATTCTATTTCAATTTTTCACTACACAAACATCTGCACACTCGCATTTTCTTAGTGCATATATCTTTTTTGAAGAAAACGTCAAGTAGAAAGTAATAATCGGTATTACTGACTAATTCTTATAGTAAATATTACATGTCTTAACCCTCACAGAGTTATTGATTTATTTTTAATGAACAACTAGGACTATTATTGTTACTTTCAACAAGCGAGATTGGATCTACATTCTATATGATAAATCATGTTCTTGACAGATAATTATAAGAGTTGGGAAAATTTTTAAAAGTAACTCGTTACCATTATTCGTTATCAAGTCTAAAAAATAACTAGTTACAGTTACTGATTCTGAAAAGTAATTCTTTATCGTTACTTAAAAAGAAAAGATACGTTACTTTTTGTTTTAAAATGTTTTAAAATGAGATCAGATTAAATAAGAAATTTACTTTTCTAATATTCTCTAAATTAAACTATCAATATAAAAATAAAACTTTTTATTTTAAATTTGCATGACTACAAAAAACTTATGATTTTAAAATACTCAAAATAAAAAGATTATGGTTTTCATTAAATTCATAAATATAACTAAATTTACTATTTCCTTTCTGTTCTCAATAGTACGTTTACAAATTTTTAATGGTATTTATATCTGTTCTTATTTATATCTGTTCTTATCCTAATGATTACTTTATATTTATAATAAACTATTCTCAAGACGGTTTTAAATATAATAATAACTATAAATATCGATCGAATATTAAGTAGATCTAAAATATAAAAAGTAACGATAAAAGTAATTGTTAAATTCGTTATTATTAATGAAAAAATGTAACTATGTTATTGTTATAGTTATTAGGAAGGAAGGTAGCACCATTATCAGTCCGTTATCAAAAAACTAATTATAACGATAACAGTGTTATAAGCAACATGTTACTTCCCAACTTTGCTATAAACAAATATATGTACCAATAGCACATGGAAAGTAAATGCTTTATTAACTCGCAAACGTTTGATTTATAATCTTATTTCACAATCTGTTGTATTTAACAATGCTATAAATACAAAATATATTAAAACAAATTTAAAAAGATATTATTATTAGTAAAATTTAATCTATTTTGTATCTTATTAATCACAATTGGAAGAAAAAATTCTTGATTAAAAATAATTTTCAAAATCCCATTTTCTCTTCAATGTTCTCTCATTGAATTTTAAATTATTGATAAAACTAAAAAGCACCTTAAAAACGCTAAAGTGTGCGGTTGTTTATTTCAATAATATTAATAACACAATATTAATAAAACAAAATTAATCTCTTATATTGTTACGTGAATAACGTATATAAGTCGAATAAGGTCAGATTATCCGCAATTCATGCTTCATAATTCGAAATTCGCTATTTGTAGAGATTCACACATGATATGAATGAACAGATATTCGTCGAATTAACATTTATTTTTCATATTTATGCTAATTTGTAGACAACGATAGAATAATATTTTAACAAAGTCAAAAAATAAATCACCTCAAACTAGTCCACTTGTGTTGATTTGTGTATAGAGTTATATCATACAAATAATAAATTACGAACACACGAATAATAGAAGGATAATATATAAATAAAGGTCTCATAAGCGACGAATTTCTATAAATCTGTGAATTGCAAATTGAGAATCACGAATTACGAATCATCTGATACGAATAGTCTGACACTACTTTTAGCTTTACATATGACTTTCTCTGACGTAAATAAAATGCTTTCATTATTTACATTTATTCGATTACGAGTCATATCAAAAACAAGTTTAAGTATTTTTATAATGTCATTTGTATGTAAAAAACCTAATCTTATAAATTGAAGATATTGTTATTAAAATATCTGTTCGGTTGGTATACCAGAAATATCTTGCTTGTCCATTTATGAGATAAATGAAAAATTTTTAAACAATTAATTTATATTCGAGTATCTTCTATAATATAACTAAACATGTATTAGCAGTAATGTTTTATTTTACATATTTCTGTTAATATATTTTATCATTGAAATTCATTATTATTGAAAAATTTCATACAAAGTTCGAACTTTGCAATAATCATATTTAATGCACGATATTGCTTTTTACTTCTTTATCTTCGATATGTACACACACACACACAACACACATACACATATACACACGTACACAAGTGCACGTACTAAATGTTCTATTTTGAATTGAACGTAGAATAACTTGAAAACTGTGCATTATTTTAAAAAATGTTACAAAGCTTTAAAGGAAATATATGATAATCATATAGCTTTGATCTTGAGATAGAGACGATCTTTTCAAACTATCTAAAATTTTACCTTAAATTTTTTTAATCGCATTCCACAAAAAATTATTAGTTTATATGTTGTTTTACGCTTTATATGACAAAATATAAAATATTTAATTTATCGATTACTTTATTTCAATACTTCTATGTATAACGGGATAAATTAATTGGTATAGAAAAAGCATATAGTTGCATTAAAAAAAAAAATATGTACTTGTATATTACAATTTGCGTATTATTTTTCAAAACAACTGCGTACTTTCTTTATTTCTTATTAATTTATCTCATCGTTTTGCGCATAAAATATTATAAATAAATATTATAATAAATATTATAATATAATAAGAAAATGGATGTTTTAAGATAATTCATATCTTATATTAAAGTGTTAGAATAAAATATAGAATAACTTTTAAATTAACAATTTCTCAGCATAACTTAAAAAAAAAGTTTTTATAAACAAAAAATATCGATTAATGTATCCAAAACTATGAAATTTTATTTAAAAATCTTGACGTGATTTTCAAATGGCAATAAAATGAAATTAATATCTAAAGTCCCTTTTTGAAATATTGAAATTACTGCCTAAAACATTTTTTTTTTTGATAACGCAATAATAGTTTACGAGTTATCTTGTTCATTTTAAAATAAGACACGCGCGCGCGCGCGCGCGCGCACACACACACACACACACACACACACACACACACACACACACACACACACACACACACACACACACACACGCCGTGTATATATGTCATATGTAGTAGTATATATTATATATATATACAAAGTATCTCATAATTAATGACGCATTTTTCATAAGCAGATAGAGCAGATATACTGAATAGAAATATCTTCTAATATTTTGCGATTTTCGCAATAATTAATGAGATATTCATTTATAAAGATCTGCAAATGAGCATCTGCATGAAAAACAGTCCAGCTAAACTACGTATCGTCCGATTATACGTATGTCCGATTATACGCGATTTATGCTTAGTGCTAGTTCACAATTCGCTATTTGTATAAGATTCTTGAATAGTATGAAAAAGTTCACATTCATTGTTTATCTTAAATGATATTTAACGAAATTAAGACTCATTACAAATCAATCGATTCATCTTGGTTCATATATATTACTATATTTTACTAGCATTAAAATTTGTGTTTACTCAAGTATCCACATAGAACACATGATTGCTGCTAAAACTATGAATTATTATTCTAAATCATTACGAATGATGAATCGCGAACAATGTGGAACATCTATTTTCACAAATGACAAATCTTATATGAATAGCGAACACAAAGTACGAATCGAGTATAATCTGGCACTAGCTTTATACGCGTTCATAATTCCTGGACATGCGATGAGATGTTTGGTGTGCACTATTAGCAGATGCTCTGTCATTTGTAGATCATCATTGATATCGTCGATAACATATTAAAATAATTAAGCACTTAATATTTGATAAACGATAAATATCCATCTTGTCTCTAATTGGCAGCCTCTGATGACTAGTTATCACTAGTTCTTCCTTACCATTAATGTTAGCCTGAGCATTATGCGATGACGCTACATTCAATTTTACTATCAAATATTTCTCGTTCATAAATTAGCAAATCCGTATTCAGTGGATCTCTCTTTAAAGTGGAATAATTTACCACCATTTCGCTCGCATTAATCTGTACTTCTTAATTCAATATCACTACACAAAAAATAACGCGCACGCGTGCATTTTATTGGCACGGGAAACTTTATATATGATTCGATTATTCGACGAATAGTATATGTCGCCAATTCATTTCTAATGAATCATTCATACACACCTCACGATACACAAGATTACAAATTTTATTTGTTCAAGCTACATTCGTATTTACTTGCCAATGTACATTATTAATACATAGTACACAAGAAACTATAGAAATACATGAATTTGTACATATGCTCCAAAAATATAATGCAAAATCTAAAATAAATGTGTAAGAATAATTTTTCGGCAGAAAGATGAAACTTTGAAATATACAAAGAATCGATACATATATTATTTTCTATTCTAGTATCAAATATCAAAATATGCGATCTTTCGAAAAATTTTCAAAAGACAATGAGAACAAAAAGTATTTCGTGCTTGAAAATTAAATAAACGCTCTAATAATATATTTTCGTTTTTACACAATAAATAAAACTTCTAATTTCTAGATCTCCCTTAATTATTGCCAAATACAAAATGCTATTTATATAAAAGAGTATTACAATTTCGTATTTATGTAGAAAGAACATGTTTGCATATCATTATAATTTCACTATGAAAATAACGAATCTTTTTTATTATAATACAGCATTGAAAGAATACTATATCGCATTACAATCGCGCTTACGAATGTCGAAAATATTGTTAAACGAGGAATCTTGAGCTATTCTCATCATTTGTATATCTTGAGCCATAGAATATATGGATAAAATATAGAGAAAGAGAGAAAGAGAGGGGGAAGGAAACAAAGAAATAAAAAGAAAACGATTCAAATCATCATCTATAAATCGTGGACCGTGTATCAATTTATATAATTTACGTAATTGACCATAGGTCAAATATTTCACAATAATTATACTGTGTTCAACTATTTACATCAAACTTTGGCTGAGGTTTTGTTATTTCATCTAAATACGTTACACTATAGCTTGAACAATATTTCGTATGACATTGTGTGTAGATTTCTGTTCTCGAGCAGAATAAGGCATACATGGCGACGTTAACCTTATGGCTATTCCAAGCGTCGCGAATTCTACCGCAATAAACTATACTATAGAATACTTGATTAGAAGTTGTCATATGAAATTTTATATAATACCAATTCATCCCAATAAATATGAATAGAACGGACTTTGTCTTTTCTCAATTGCATTCTTCGAAAAGCATTCTTATTCTCTCATTTTAATATGTAGGATTAAGATGAAACTCGTAAGTATTCTATTTTTCGCAAGTTTAAATCACGTAATTGAATACGAGGCATAGCTTCCTGACAATTACTTTCAAAGTAAGCTTCAGTTGTAACTTCAGGATAATTATACGCGATGCTAAGTACCGATCCCGACAAACAGGATGAATTCGCGAGTTTTTCGAGATTTTCCGTTCCCAGACTCCACTGTCACGGAGGAGATTTAGGCCCGCCAGATTTATCTGTCATTACTTGTTGCTGCTGTTGCGAAGACGATTGTTGTTGCTGTGCCTGCTGTTGCTGCTGCTGTTGCTGCTGATGCTGCTGCTGCTGCTGTTGTTGTTGATGTTGTTGTTGGTGATGATGTGATGCGGGATCTGTGTTTACTCCGAGTTCGTTGCCTATTAAATTACCACTGCTATTTTTGTCTACTACGCCACTCGTATGCACAGGATGAAAATATCGTTCTGAAACAAGATATTTTTATATTAGACTAAAAAACTATTCAAATAAATAATCAAAAATAATTTAACATATTTAGCAAACTACTACATTATATGTTATTAGATACTTCCTATGTATTTACTAATATCAAAATACAATGCGTTATTGAATGCAGTAACATAAATACTTATACGATCAATTGACAAAATTTCAAAAGCAAATAATCAGCGATCCTGACATGTTATATTATCAGCAGCGTGATAACAATGGATAATTTGTTACATCATTTTGAGCATTCTCAGTCACGACTGGATCTCGATGCTTATAATTACTCAATGCTAATAATTATTTTTGAATTTACACACACACACACACACACACACACACACACACACACACACACACACACACACACACTAATTCAATAAGCCTATTTTCACCATCAAATACATACCATTACTTTTTCAATAGTCTACAATATAGCAAAGCAAAGTCAAATTTATATATTTCCTATAATTATTAAATCCAACACATGGCGTATATATAACTAGAACTAGCATTAATAGAAAATAAATTTAAAGAGAATAAGAAAAATATTACTACAATTCTTTTAATAGTTAATATTTAAATGTTTTCAAAAGTGCTATAAAATTAATTTTTTTAAACAACAATAAATATTTTTTAAGTAAAAACTATATATCAAAGAGATGGGTTTCATATTTATATTACAATTTAATTTTATATTTACATATTTGTAAAAAAATATATGTCATAATAATTTTATAGAATTATTAATATGTGTAACGGCTTGTAAGAAAATAGATCGATAATAACATCACGTGTCGCATCGTCAATTCGGTGACTCGAGATTCCATGACTCGAGAAATCATATTACTATAGTCATAGCTCGAGAGAGAAGAAGACAGCAAGTCTGTCCTCTTCTACTGCTCAAAACTGGCTGAAATATGGAGCGTATATGGATGTTGGCTTATGTTAGTGCTGTTGCCAGTCTATTCTCTTCATATGCTGTTAACATTCATCTAATATCACTGTTCGTAGATAAATAGAGTTAATTATATAGAAAACAATAATTAAATAAAAAAACTGATGAGAATTAATTGTGAATCTTAGTGTTCAATACAAATTAATAACCAAATATTATTTTAAATACGTAAAATTGAATGTTTCAGCTCTTCAGTCGAATTAGTACAAAACTCGACATGAATAGTCAGAAAGTTTCAGATTTGAACTTACATAAAATAAAAAATGCGGAGATTTTCATGAGTAATGATAAACTTAAAGTTGTCCACAAATTATAATTATAATTATAAAATATGTTATGAATCGTGGATTATAAATCACAGATGGCAAATTGTCATTAAATTACTGTTATCAATGCTTCTTTGCCAATCGATGTTAACATATTAACTTTCTATTAACTTTTCTATTAACTTTCTATTTTCTATTAACTTGCTATTGTTAGAATTAAAATTCACACATGTTCAATACGACATAATGCTGTCTTATTTCTAATTTTTCAAAATCGACTGTCTCAAGGGTTATTAGCAATATAACAACAATCTCACAAACATTTGACTATTTGAATATATCTACTCAATATTGATAGAAAGATAGAATTTAGCTTTACCTTCCTCCATAACAGTTGGAGGATCGCTGGTAGTACCAGCGATGATTGGAGCGATCATGTTATAATCATCTTCCAAATTGATAAATGGTGCGGTATTCCAACGCGGTGGGACATTAGAGACCGATCTTTGAGTGGCTACCGGTCTTGTAACCGAGACAGGAGATGAAAATAGAGACAAGTTAGTCGGCGAAATTACCCCTGACATTGAGCTGATGGTTGGATACGTGAAAATTTGCTAGAAGAGAAGAACAGATAATAATAATAATATAAATACAATAGAATATATTTTATATATTCTTGAAGATGAAACTCCGACATGTATCTTAGGGCAATATTCATATTCAATTCTTATATTAAAGATTATCTTAAGTTGAATATTAAGGCTCCTGGGTACTCAGCCAAGAACTCCGCGTTAACAGTAGCGACACAGCGTCGCAGTAAAAATTAGAAGTTCATTCATCCTTGTGCATCTTATTCTTGTCCTTATTCATCTTTATATAAATGACTTAAGATTACTTAAGGCTCTTGGGTAGTTTAAGTTCTCGCTTAGTCAATAAAATAACCATATCTTGAAACCTTGAAATAGCTTAAGATGATTTTATATATAAGAACATGAATATCAAAGAAAATGCAAACAAGTATAATTGAATTCTTGAGCAAAACAAAAAAAAAATAAAAGTAAAAGAAACTAACCTGTCCGGGTTGTGAATGAAAATGAGCAAATGTATATTCTCTGCTGGTGGTGTGCGGTGTAACAAGAATTCTGGCAGGACTCTTCCGTCCAGTAGGTTCGACAGAATTTTGGCAAGCAGAACTGACGAGACCTACCGTTGCCGCGGTAGTCATTTGTTCCTGATTAGGCCCTAGTTCGGCTGAATCAGTAGGTGACGTGGATGATGTTGGTGGCGAGTTGGCAGTTGTCGCTGTCAGCTCACCCGTTGATCTTATTATCGCTACTGGTCTGGCCATAGGAGCGGGTGGTGGCGGCGGCAACATCGAACTCGGATAATACTGCGGAAATTTCTGTATACCGGTGCGTGGTCCGGTTAATTGTGTCTGAAAATAATCAGTTAAATTATACATAATATCTCATTTTCTGTACATTAACAATGCGCTATTTAAGTTAGAGATGGTTTTTCCTTAGTGAAAATGCCCAGACGATTACCAAGAACTTTTTAAAATTAAAAAAGATCTTTTAATCAATAAAATATCTTTTAAAACATAAAAATAATTTAAATTTTTACAAAATCAAGTAAATTACAAAACTATATTTTTTTATTCATGTCAAATAAAGTTTAATTGAATATGAATAAGAAATTTACAAAAGTACAGAGTATTTTTTTTAAGGATTATCATTCAAAAATGTTTTAATTTTCAAATTTCAAAAAAGATACGTCCAATAAAAATTATATGTTTTCAAAAGAACACATGATTACACCAATTAATTTGTCTTGTGTAATTATTTTATGCATAGAAGTAAAAAATAAATTGTTCACGAGATTTTATTTTATATTACATGTTAAGATACGTCAGAATAGTATAAAATATCTTGTAGATTGTTTTAAAATATTATTTTGACATTTTTATATTCAGAAAAAGGAATTATTATGTAAAAAAATATTATATGATACTATTTAAAAAATAATGATCAAAAAATATCGACAATGGCGCCATTTGCGAATAAATTAATAATATTATCATGTTTTACTTTGAAATTTTAGATCCTGCGTACAATGAAGAAAATATTAGAAACAGAAATAAATATTAAATAAAAATTAGAAATAAAGATTAAACGTAACGCATGATGAAACATAAATAAGCATAAGATATAGCCATATCTTATAATCACTTTAATATTTCTGTTTCTAATATTTCAAAATTACAATTGAGAGCTTTAAAAAATAATGTGCAAAAAGTAAAAGATTTTATATAGTTCTTATCGTATAAAAAAAAAAAATAGAAATTTTACGTGATCCATAAAAGGTTCATGAGATATTACGCATAATTCTGAATATTTGTAAGTATTATGTATTAAATTACCTGGGACAATTGTTGGGTGTTCTCAGCTTCTTGACAGACAAATGTCACAAAGTCCGAAAGAGTATCGTGTCCATTTTCGGGATACTTCACTACCCCTGTAGATCCGGAGTGCTCTGGCTGATAATAAGCGAGTCCAGGCATGCTTTGACCAGAACCACCAGTTAGTCCCTCGTGAGGTGAATGCAATCCTGAAACACAATTTCCAATGATTATCTGGTCTGATGAATGATTTGACAATGTCACGATGAACCACCCCCTTAATTTAACGCTTATTCTTTCCTTACCTTTGTGAGCAAAGAAGCTTATTTTATTTAATATTTCTTTTTTTTTCTATTAATCGAAAACTGAACAAAATATTTACTTTATCACAATTTATTAAATCTTGAAATTATATATAAACCAAAAATTTCTTTTCTGATCAATGAAACGTTTTTTCAGAACTAAAAGTTATTAATAAATTTTCGTCCTAATCGCCTTCGAAAGACAAAATGATTTCGTTTAATTAATGCTTCATTGCAAATTTATCTTATTTACGATTATCATGTTTATCTTTTCATATTATTTTAATTGTCATATATCGATAGTGATGTATAATTGAACAATTTTATAGTAATGTTTGTTGTATAAATTATTTTTATTCAACTTAATTATATTTAATATAGGTATATTAATTTTTTATTGTACTAATAAATCGCATTCAATTACCTTTATATGTGTATATGCGTGTTCAAACCAAATCACAAAATTGAGATAAATCATTTATACATAAGTTATGTATATATCTATATATAAAGATGTTTGTAGAGATAAAGAAAATTATAATAGAGGAAATAGTAATGTCAAGCTAAAATAAAATATTAGATTAAATCTCTCTTTACACTGTTTCACTTTTCAGTGGAATTGTAACTTAGCTCAGTCTTTCGCAATTAAGACACGCATAAATATACAGATAGATACACGGATAGTTAGATAAGGATAGAAAAGTCGTTGTTACCATGAGCTTGTTAGGGGGGTGGTTTTAGTGACGCATACAGAACTAATCAAATTCTGATGCTTATGTTGTAAGTACAGATCATATTCCGAAATTGTTGCAATTTCTCTCAATTACAGATTCTTCGATAAATTTTTGAATCAATCTTTAAAAAGTTTCACAGATTCATTATTGATGTAAATTTTAGTACATTTGAATATTTTGGCTATTAAATTCGACGAAGTAATCCCTTTTTTTACATTCTTATAATTCTTATTAATTAGATTCATAACGATCAAATATGTTATTTAATTTTTACCAGATTCGACAAACATTAACTTCAAATTCAGTCGAAGAATTTACAAATGAAAGAAAGTACAATAATCCTGGAGCATACTGTACATACATATATATGTACATACATACATACACATATACACTGAATGATACATTCCAAGCGTAAGACTGAATGAACAAAATGTTTATAAAAAATATATTCTCTCAAATATAAGTCGAAATTATTAAAGAAATATATGCAATAATCATAATTTTTGATCCTTCGTCTCAGGATATCCAATATAAGTAAATTGATTTTACTTTAATATTTTATATAAAATAATATATGAGCAAATCTTGTTAAAACAGACTACAACAGCGTTAGATTATTAATTAAATGTTAATTAATTACAACAATATAATTAATGTGTATAATACATGTGCGAGATAGAAAAGTTTTTGAATACATGATGTATGGATAGCATGACCTTTTTTATGACAAACATGATTTACTTTGTGCACGGCACAGATAATATGTGTACGCATATAATACATGATAAGATATGTATATATATATATATATATGTACGTACGTAGGTGTGTACATGACACACAAAGTGCAACAACATAGTGCAAACATCAAACAAACAGCAAGATAACAACGACTAAACAACACATCAAAAACATCAAATTAACAACAACATCAACATCAATACAATGATTAGAGTATATATAGATATATTAAACAACAACACCAACATCGCAACGATAATAATAGTAGGTAGTATCATACGGAAAGGGCATAAATGTTTAATTAATATATTTCACGTGAATTGAATGTTAATCAATTAAGTAAATATCAATTAATCTATCCAGCATACGACATACTCAGAGCATTGGCCGTGTGATAGTGAAGAATATAAAAACAATATCAAGTGAGATGAAACTAAATATACAGTGCACGCTTAGATGGCAGCCTTGATCATAGCTCGACCGATCAATCGTTGTTATCTATTTTGTGCTTAGATATATAATCGATAATCATAATCAAGATCGCTCGTATAAATGTCATTCCTCAAAGAGATTCATCAATATCTTTCTTATTAATACATATTTTATATCCAGAAATCTCTTCAAAACTTTATCTTTTAGCATTTATATAAAAATAAAAATTAGAGATATGAATTCCAATATAATTCTTTTTCTTAATTTTTAATTTTTGTTTAAGTTTCTTAAACATAATCAATCTAAAATCTTTTTTAAAAAATTGATGAGCAAGACACGACAGATCTGATCATCAACTTTACATCACTTATTAATTATTAGTAGCTGTCATGTTATAAAGAATCACAACATATTATGTCAGTTTAGTTATAGAGAAGAATATAATTTATTTTTGTTAATTTTAAATATTAATTGTGTAATATTGATGCTAAAAATTATAAGAATTTTCTTTTGATCGCCGAGCCGCATCGAGACTGTATCGTCGACTTTGTTACGTGAATAGGTGAATATATAACCGGATTGTTAAACAAAGACAAGAACAAAGGATAAATTAACAGACAACACAGGTCGTCAGATCAGACAGATATACATACATACAGACAGACAGACAGATAGACAGACAGCAACAACTAGCTTGCTAGGTAGACCGTACTACGCATTTAGCAAGAAAGGCCATCCGTCTGTTTATCCACCCGTTTTCAACCACTATATCTGCCTTTATTACGATGCTTTCAAATGTGTTGGGAGAAAGTTTTAATTAAGAAATGTAAAGATAAAATAATTACTTTTAATTCTAAAAAGTAGCATATTTATTAAGTTGGACAAAGCGGCCGTTAAACAGGCAGATCAGACGGACAGGCAAAGAACTTTATAAAGAGAATTGTT